TGTACATATCGCCGATACACCAGCTACGCTTTATGTTATGAACCCTTATGAAAATGTTTGGCATGTTGTCAGAGGGGTCAAAATACGTTTTCTTTCGTGGAATTAATAGGAGATGCACTTTCGCATGAGTGACATCTATTTTTATTTTTCCCTACGAATACTTTCTGAAGATTTTTACATAATATAATGTGATCAAGGAAGCAAAAAGTAATTATATTATAATAAGCCCATTTCTAGAATCTCTCATTCAATTAACAGTGCATTTTGAAAGAGATATGTTTCCAGAGATACTGAGGTGATGATGTATGAACGTGCAAAGTTCCTGCATTTTATTCACAATCTTTACATATCAACGTTAATAAAACATTGAGCTCGCAGAAGAAAATCTCGAAAAACATTTTCATTGATTTTAATATGGAGCAATATGAATTCAAAAAGCGTTTATATCTTTATGCTGAATGATAAGTACCGTTCGTCTTTTCACATGATTCAGATTTAGAAATAGTTGATTTTATTGTAAAGAAAAATAAATCATAAAAGATACAAACATATCTGTTACTGTATCAAAGAATACAATAAAAGTAAAAAACAAAACAAAAATAAACTTTATTTTGAAAAGATATTAAAATATTGGCATATCACGAATTTGTTTATGTTCAAATATCTAAATGAAGAAATTCTGATAAAGTTTAGTTTTATGATTATTTCGAATCAATCTAACCTGACTTGGTGTACTTGTAGAAGACTTTTTTGTGTTTGGAGTTTGTTTTATTGGTTTTTTCTTGATCGATCGTTGAGTTGTTCTTTTTTATTGCAACTCTATATTGAATAAGAAAACATGAAATAAAATTTTTTCTGAAATTAAAAGCTCAAATTTTCGGTGTCTTATGATAAATCACTCTTACTTTTACATTCGTAGAAGGACCAATTGGTGACAAGGAATATTCAATTGGATTTGATGGAATTGATGAATGTGATGGTGATGATGTAAATTTCTTGGTTATGCTTTTGTAAATATTAGATATATATGATGTAGATTGATAAAAATAGCTGTGGTAGATGTCCATTGATGTATTCATAAGGTTCAATTGACTTTTATTATCATTTGAAAAGTCACATTCCGTTGAAATAATGAAACTAGAATTTACTATGTAATCAAAAGAAAGTAAATAAAATAAAACACATAAAACAGCAATAAGTTTAATGCTTACATCTTTATCATAAACGAATTCAAGTGCAACTTTGCACTTCTCATTATCATTACGATCACTTTTAGCATAAAAATCTGATGATTTTTCCATTCGATTATCATCATTGGTATCTCTATCATGATCATCATGAAAAAAACATGTGTTGATTAATAATGATGTTGATTTTATTTTTATTAGAGAAAAATCTAAAATGTTGAGCAAGATAATCGAATCGGTTTTAACAAATAAATATTGAAAAAAGAAAAGATGAGAATACAATGCGATAAATTGACTGCAATTTCATCATAAATTTCTCACTCTGTCTAAAAATAACCACAACGATTATGAAAATTAAAGAGGACGACACTAATAAAACATTTTCCACCCAAAAATCAAGTTTACAATATCTCCCGGCAAAAATCACTATACCATTCGATTGCAAATTAAATTTAGATTTAGTGAAACTCACATATATTTTCGAAGAAAATGGTGAGTATAAGTTTTAAGTTAAAGTTTTCCGGCTCTCCTCTCCCCTCCATTACAGAGTCCCCCCCTTCTCGCTCCCCATTATAGACTTAGCAATCGGCAATAACAGGCGTTAGACATTCTAGTTTTTTTGGAAAATTGATTTAATTATAATTTTGAAAGGTAATCAACATCATCGTTTGTGAGATGATTAATATATGTAATAGTGCGTAAGATCTGCTTTAGATATCGTGGATATGTTAAACAGATTTATTTGCCAATTAATTTAATGATTATAATAATAAGAATGCTAAATTAAGAAAAACGAATAAAAAAATGAGAAATAATGAGCGAATAGCAACAATGCAAACAAACAATAGGGCGCCCGTAGAAAAAATCAAAAATTTCTGTTCGAAAGGCAGAAGTTAGAGTAGTTCTTACTATGATGCTTGATTGTCCTATAAAACAACTAGTCTGGAAGAGATTTTTTACTTTAACTATTTTGTATTAATTTAACGAGGCTAGAAAACATATGTGAGTTCCACATTACAGCCCCAAAGGGGCTGCGTTAACAAGCTTTTTTAGTATATCCAATTTTTATGATTTGGCGATGATCAAATATAAACAAGAAGAAATACGTGATGATTACGTATTAAAACAAATTCATAGTTAAGATATTTTTACATGCATAAAAGTACACATTGAAATACTTCTTTTCATTTAGCATAGCTATGTATAATAGAAACGCCTATACTCTTCATATATATTCAATTATAAATGCATTGAAGTTTGCGATTAAACAATGTTGTCGCTTCTATTTAGATGTCTACGTCCAAAAAACATTTTATTTTGAATAGTTGTTTTGAAATTTCGTAACAGCTTTAGTATCTATATTTATACGTGTAACAATAGATTTTAGGATTACTTGTGAATTTTGAAACAAAGTGCTCAACAATTTTATTCTATTATGAGACAAAAAAAAAAGAGTTCATTTGATAAAAACACGATGACAAAGATGTTTGGAGGTGGGACACAGTGAGCAGAAACAGAGAGTCAGGAGCAATTCCGAGTTACGAAATCGCTATTGAGTGAAGGCTATGTGCGTTATGTAGGCTCTAATGAGCCATGAACATCCTGAAAAGAGTTTGTGCTCCTGGCTTGTTAATGTCGAGATATTTAATTTTTATAGCATTTTTCAGCAAAAAGCCGTGATCCCTTCAGGTTCACCTGAAAAATGAAGTTTCAAATTTCGGCTTGAAAATTTGCGTAGAGAAAGGTCTCAGTGAAACTAGTTTATTCTGAAAGTTTCAGATTTTGAGGTTCCTTCTAACCTGAGATACGAGTATAAGAAAACAATATTTTTCTTTGTATTTTTCCTATCACTTATAGCACAAAATATTAAATGTTTATATTTAAGGATAGGAGCTACCAAAATATTTGAAACTTTCAGAATTAACTAGTCTCATTGAGATCTTTCTCTGCGCAAAGTTTCAAGCCGAAATTCTAAAGTTGATTTTGCAGGTGAATCTGAGGAGGACCACGGCGTTGTGCGACAAAAAGCCGTAAAAATCAAATATCTCGACAAGAATGCAATGGTGCATTTTTGCGCATCTACTTGAGATAGGTGATGATATGTTCTATCAAATAGTTAATTAAAATTCAAATAAAGGCTTTGGGAAAATCCGGGAAACGAATGGAATTATTCACTAATCGTGATATTTTAGTATATTACGAGAAGATTTTTGACCCTATTGGAACAGAAGGAACTTCAGACAGTCTGAAAGGTTTCTAGTATATAGTAAAGATATAATACTAAATAACTGCATAATATCTAATGGATATAATTAGATCTTTAATTTGAAACATAAACTTTACTTCTAAGGCCCTATCAGTGATATTCACCTATTTTACCCACTTTGTGGTGACTGCTGCAAAACGGCTGCTCGCTTGCAGTCAAAATCCAAGATGCAGTTAAATACAGGACCATTGTAACTTCAATGCTAGCTACTATATAGGTTCAGATCTCACAAATCGATTTTGTGGCCTGGCTGTCCACTGTGGGGTGGGGGGGGAGGGGTACAGATCAGTTTCGGGAAGGAAAAAGGGTTTGCTAAAACGTATATAATTAGACGCATGTTTTGACGTTGATTTCGAATATCATATTTATTTTGTTGTCCCATTATGTCATCACAATGAAAACTGCTAAAAATTTTCATATTCTACTGAAAAACTAACAAAACCATGAAAAATAAGGAAGTGTAAGCCCTTTTTTGTATCAAGCGGAAACTTTTTTCAAATATTTTTTCACTATTTTGTAGAGAAAACAAAACTACACAACATATGCAAAAATCATTCTGGGGGTCTCGCCATTCTGAAACATAGCAGGAAGTACAATGTTGTAGTGGAACTGACGAAAATAACCTCCTTCACCATTGTTGGCTTTATAAAACTTGAGTTGGTAGACATTGTGTTACATCAATATAGTTCATTCTGTTCAGCTTTTGATTCTCTATCTTCTGATATATACTATAAAAAATTTTAATGATCTTTTGAAATGCAAGTTGGCACGTCCTTTACAGAATAATTCTTCTTGTTTCTTCCAAAACGGCATGATAGCGCTTAAAGATGGTATTGACTAGTTTTTCGAAGCAAGGGTATTAACACCTAAAATGTTGTGGTTGATGGTTTCAGACATTGACTCATTGAATGAACGAAAAAAATCAAAAAAATTTTTATCTAGTGCGTCGAATACTCGATGTCCTCTTAAAGGGTCGTCGTTAATTTTCATGTTTGGTGAAACATATCTTTCACCTTATAGTTCTCTTACTATATGAGTTAGATGAGGTCAATCATAGACCATTTTTTACAGCATATTTTACTTCATCTTTCTTTGTAGAGACAAATTTTCAAATGCGCGTTTTACCATTGAAAAAGTTATTATATACACTGAGTCAGGACGTCTGGTCCATCTTTTATGTGTCGTATGTGTACCGTGCTATGAAAATGCTGTGTACAGTAGGCGTATACGCCCTGTAATTATGCAGTATTTACCTCATCTTATTAAAGCACCTAAACTTAAGAATTAGCTACGGTATAATAGTAGACATCAGTAGGTTCTGTTAAGTAATATGTCACGCTACCTGGTTCCCATGATCTACCCACCTTGCTAACTTCATCTGGATTTTTTCTTGCTCTCTGTCGTGCAACCATTCGTTCAGCGCACACTACTATAGGAGAGTTTTTTGACAAACAACACACGACGGAAGTCGGAATGTGCACTAGGTAAATGACATCCTGCAAAGAGTCACAGGGACACACATATTCTAGAAAATATTAGGTTGCCAAGAAAGGTTTTGCGTTTTTTTCGAAAATTTTCTGGAATAGTAGAAAAAGTTCTAGAAGTTTCCATACTAAGGGTATATAAAGGGGGGGGGGGTACGAATATCTTTCGAGCAGCAAAAAAAAACTATGGATTTGGACGTTGATCTCGAATTAGAAACGAACATATCTCGTGAAGAGCTCCGGGTGCTTCTGCTTCATGAATTCCGTTTGGATCACAACGCAACGGAAGCAGCAAGCAACATATACAGCAAGACGGACAAGAATGCACTCTCCATCCGTACAACGCAACATTGGTTCAATCGGTTCAAGAACGGTAATTTCGAACTCGACGATGTTCCTCGTTCTGGAAGATCACTAGGGGTGGATATGGATGTTTTAGAGCAGCTCATCGAAGAAGATCCTAGATTGACTACACGGTGTTTAGCAGAGTGACTTGGGTGCTCTCATACTACAGTGGAAACACATCTGGACGAATTAGGCAAAATGTGGAAATATGGAGTTTGGATACCACATGAATTATTACCGCATCAGCTCCAACACAGGCTTGACGCTTGTATGGAATTAATGTCATCTTATTGCAACTACCAATGGCTCCACAATCTTATTACTGGCGATGAAAAATGAGTGTTCTATGTTAACCACACGCGCAAGCGACAGTGGCTGGGAGCTGGACAAACCAGTGTAGCAGCACCCAAAAATGACCTTCGCCCAAAGAAGATCGTGTTGAGCGTTTGGTGGGGAGTAAAGCGGATTATTCATTGGGAACTTCTTCCAACTGGCTGCGCCATCACTGCTGATCTTTATTGTCGACAATTGGACCGAGTTGCAGCAAAACTTCAGAGGAAGCAGGATAGAATTTATTTTTTGCATGACAACGCCAGACCTCACATTGCAAAGTCGATGCGTGAAAAATTACTGAAGCTCGGATGGATTACGGTTCCACATCCACCTTGTTCTCCAGATTTGGCTCCTACGGACTACCACTTGTACCGTTTTCTGTCTAACCAGTTACGCGAGAAAAAATTTGATGACGAGAACGACTTCAAAACGGACCTCGTCGACTTCTTCGGCCAAAAGTCCCAGGACTTCTACGAACGCGGGATCTTTTCTCTACCAGAGCGTTGGTGACAAGTCATAGATAGTAATGCAGCATACATTGTTGAAAGCTGGTTGTATTCTTGAAGTTAAAAAGTAAAAAGAAAATTTTCAAAAAAAAACGCAAAAAATGTCTTGCCAACCCAATATGTGTTGATAAATTTTCGGAACGAAAAAAAATGTTGACATTTTAACTTTTTGTTTTTCTT